AGATCAGGAATCTACCAAAATTGTGTTTTATGAAAGTGGTATAGCATAAAACAGAGAGTCCCTCTCATGCAGCATATGAGATGAATTATTATTACAGTGGTACCTCTGGTTACATACGCTTCAGGTTACATACGCTTCAGGTTACAGACTCCGCTAACCCAGAAATAGTACCTCGGATTAAAGAACTTTTCTTCAGGATGAGAACAGAAATCGTGATCCGGCGGTGCGGCAGCAGCAGGAGGCCCCATTAGCTAAAGTGGTGCTTCAGGTTAAGAACAGTTTCAGGTTAAGAATGGCCCTCCGGAACTTAACCTGAGGTACCACTGTGTTGTTGTTGTTATTGTTGTTGTTGTTAGCATCGATTAGCTAATGACCAACTATGGAAGAGATAAATTTCTCAGACCATATTGATGTTGTTTTCCTCTTTTAATAATAATAATAATATTCTGGTCAACAGAGATAGGCAATACATCTTCTAGGAGGGAGAAATATCTGAAGCTCAACAGGTGTTTTTGTTGTTTTTGTTGTTGTTGTTGTTTTAAAAAAACCATTTCTGCAAAAGGAAAAGAATGGAAGCCACCCAGAATGGCTGGGGAAACTCAGCCAGATTGGCAGGGTATAAATATGATGATGATGATGATGATGATGATGATGATGGAAGAAATTACTATTTAAGGCCCAAAGCAGGGATTTCAACCCTCTACGTCAACTGCATAAAAACATAAACATTAAGGGAGGGTTCGGGTAACTCATGTGTGGGGAACCTTTGATGCTCCAAAGGTTCCCGAACTACAAATACCATCATCTCTGGCCACTGGCAATGCTTCCTAGAGCTGATGGGAGTTGTAGTTCAGCAACACCTGGCACACAGACTGTTTCTGAGCAAGTTAAAAAGCAGAGGTCCCAATACAGATCCTTGGGGTACCCCACTTTCTATATGATTCAATTAGCCTTTCATCCCTATAAGCAGATCACAAAACCAATGTTCATGTCAGAACCATTCTAGACCTCCCCTATCATTTCATCTGGCTTCACTTTGCATAGGTTTTGTTTGGATTACAGCAGATGGGCTCATACTGTGCCTTCCTGACAGCGTGAGCATGGACCAGGCTGCAGGATTCGCCCTGTCGCATGGGTGGGTACTCAGTCACCTGACTGTCCTGTCACCTGACCTTTCTAGAGGCCAAGTCCTCTTCATGAAGTCTGATGAACCGCAAGGCTCAGAACAGGAAATAGAGAGAAGGAATAAACGGGCGGCTCTCACACTGGAGAGGCAGAAGGAGGGAGATCTCCCAGTGATCAGTATTGGGACCTGTGATTTCTAATTTGTTCAACTATGACTTGGAATTAAGGGTGAGCAGTGAGTAGGGTTGCTATATTTCAAAAAGTGAAAAAGTTGTTGAGTTGTTTCTATTTTAAAGGAAATTCGCCAAAATCCACACTTCTGATATCGGTTGCCATACATCCGGATTTTCCGAGACATTCTGACGATTTCCACCAGACACTGTTTCCAACAGTCAAATCCCTGCTATGTCTGGTAAATTGTGGTCGTATGGCAACCTTAGCAGTGAGCCAATAGGCATCCACAAAAGCGCTCTCTCTCTCTCTCTCTCTCTCTCTCTGTGTGTGTGTGTGTGTTACAGGTAGGTAGCCATGTTGGTCTGCCGTAGTCGAAACAAAAAATAAATAAATAGAAATACCTTCCAGTAGCACCTTAGAGATCAACTAAATTGGTATGAGCTTTCGTTTGCATGCACACTACTTCAGATACACGTGTGTGTGTGTGTGTGTGTGTGTGTTGGGGATGGGGGGATGGGGGGTGGGAATTAAAGCAAACAGCTAAAAGAGTATGCAACCAATTGTATTTTTTCAACCGGGGCTATGGATTTTCCCAGGAAATCATTGCAGCTGAGCCAGGAAAATGGAATTACAGATGGAATTCCTCCAGCAGGTTTTACGCATCCCGAGCAATATCTGCCCAGAAAAGACATGGAAAGAAACCCATGCTGAATTTTAATATGAGGTAAGGTTTTCCTAGACACCAAAAGAATGTGCAAATGCCTTTTTAGATGAGAAACAGGGCAAAGGCAAGTCCCAAAAAATGTGACGAGACACTATTCCAAAATCCCCATTAGTAACCACAACAATATTATATTAAGGGATGTGGAACTGGTGTCAGTTCTGCTGCCATCAGGCAGACTAATGACTGCCAAGCATTTGAAATGCAATATAAATCACCTTACTTAGAGGTATGGCTGTATAAGCCTCAGCTATTGTGATAACAGAACTGAAGATGTCAAACAAATTGCCCCCGACTGGGCTGAATTCAGCAGAGACCCAGATGTTGGGTTCCTACTGAGAGCCAGGGTGGTGTAGTGGTTTTTTTTAAATAATAATATTTATTAGTTTTCCAACAAATTGAACACAACACTACAAAAAACCAAAAAAGAAAAAACATACAGCAATACAATACAATACAAAAAACACACACACTGCAAAACACTAACATACAACTAACAAAACAAAACAAAAACCATTTAAAACACAGTCCAATTTCAATATCTTATCTTTCTTTCACTAATTTCCACAACCTCCTCACACCTCCCTTTTTGTATTCCACTTCTATTAATTGTTTCAGCAATTCCTTTCCATCTTCCTCTGTTTTCTATCCTATAATTGTCTTAACACATTCTAACCTTATTTTTCCCTTTAATGCTCTATTAATCTATTTATACTTAATTCCTTATAACATTTCTACTAAAGCCATATAACTTCATTCCAACATTTTTCTAACATTCATTAATTTTACAGTATTTCTGTAAATAGTCTTTAAACTTTTTCCAGTCTTCTTCCACCGACTCTTCTCCCTGGTCTCGGATTCTGCCAGTCATTTCCGCCAATTCCATGTAGTCCATCAACTTCAACTGCTATTCTTCCCTGGTGGGTAAATCTTGTGTCTTCCAATATTTCACGATGAGTATTCTTGCTGCTGTTGTTGCATACATAAAAAAGTTCTATCCTTCTTTAACACCAATTGGCCGACCATGCCCAGGAGAAAGGCCTCTGGTTTCTTAAGGAAGGTATATTTAAATACCTTTTTCATTTTGTTATAAATCATCTCCCAGAATGCCTTAATCCTTGGGCACGTCCACCAAAGGTGAAAGAACAGGGTGGTGTAGTGGTTAAGAGCGGTAGACTCGTAATCTGGTGAACTGGGTTCGCTTCCCCGCTCCTCCACATGCAGCTGCTGGGTGACCTTGGGCTAGTCACACTTCTCTGAAGTATCTCAGCCCCACTCACCTCACAGAGTGTTTGTTGTGGGGGAGGAAGGGAAAAGAGAATGTTAGCCGCTTTGAGACTCCTTCGGGTAGTGATAAAGCGGGATATCAAATCCAAACTCCTCCTTCTTCTACTGAGGTAGCAGGGAGTGTGGGGGTTTTAAGGTGGAGAAGTGGCAGCAGGAAGGAAATTGCCTAAGGTTTCCACCATGTTTTCTGTGCAAAATCCTCCCCGAGGACTCCCCTGCCCTAGCATGTGTTTCCTACATTAAAAGGGAAAGTGGTTGGCAGGGTGAGGGTTAAGTACTTCTCCCTTAACCCTTCATCTCTGCTTCAAATTGTCCTATCCTCTGCCACATCAGATGGGTGGGGCAGAGCTACTACCCTAGCTTCCCACTGCTGCTTACTGGAAGAGTGAGGGTGAGGTGCTAGAGAGGTTAGGGCAGTGTAAACACACTGGCAGGAGTGTTAGATTGGCTCCGCTCAAGCATTTGCACTGCACTGGCCTCCCGGCTACTTCACTGCTCCCTTCTGCCTTCCAGAAAGCAACAGCAACCAACATGCCAGGATGCTATCCCCACTTGACTAGCAACTGCTGGTGGAGATCCTTCTTGCAAGCCAATAACGTCTCCTTCCATCCTCTCTGTCCTATTTTATTCAGTTCAGCAAATTTTGTGATACTCTGATTGCAGTGTAGGAAGCCTAAGCTTTCAGGACTAATCCATGAATTAAATCCTTCTGTCCCAGAAACTCCAGTGGGTGCAGAATGCTGCAGCGAGGCTCCTCACAGGATCCTTGCCATTGGAGCATATTCACCCAGTGCTCTACCAGTATAGGTGGAGTATAGGGTCAGGTTTAAGGTGCTGGTTTTGACCTTTAAAGCCCTATGCAGCCTAGGACCCTTGTACTTACGGGACCGCCTCTCCTGGTATGTCCCACAGAGGACCCTAAGGTCCATGAATAATAATAGCTTAAAGGTCCCGAGCCCTAAGGAAGCCAGACTATCCTCCACCAGAGCCAGGACTTTTTCAGTGACAGCTCCAACCTGGTGGAATGCTCTGTCCCACGAGACTAGGGCCCTGCAGGACTTGATCTCCTTCCGCAGGGCCTGTAAGACAGAACTATTCTGCCTGGCCTTCAATTTGAATTAGCCTGATCCTCTATTCCCTTTCCCCTTTCCTCTTCTATGAAGAAACCCTTTCTGGGACCCCACATTTAAATTCTTCCCTGGTCTCCTTGCTGGTGCTAGTAGGACCAACTTGGCCAGTTAGCCCTGGTGATGATTTGATGCCTACTGATTGCGTTTCCCCCCAAAAAATGACCCCTGCATTTTTGAATTTTATTGATATTGATACTGCATTTTATGTTGTATTTTATGCTGTTTTTAAGTCACATTTTAATCAATGTTTTATATTTGCTGCTAGTCACCCTGAGCCCAGTTTTTAAACTGGGAAGGGCGGGGTATAAATAAAAAAATATTATTATAAGAAGGATTGGAAAGCTGCATTGTCAGACTACAAATCCCATAATCCTTGACCATCAGCTGTGCTGATTGGGACTGATAGGAGCTGGAGTCCCAGAACATCTAGAGGACTACAGATTTGTCACATTCAAGTGGACTTCTGTAATGTACTCTATGCTGGTACAAAATGCCGCTGCAAGAGTTTTCACCTATGTTGGGTTGCTGGAGCACATAACTCCAGCGTTGTATCAACTTCAGCCTGGATAGCTCAGTTGGTTAGCATGTGGTGCTGATGACGCCAAGGTTTCAGGTTCAAATCCCCCGTATGGAACAGCTGCATATTCCTGCATTGCAAGGGGTTGGACCAGAATTTGGGTCTCCAGCTGTTTTGGACTACAACTCCCATCATTCCTAGCCAGCAAGACCAGTGGTCAGGGATGGTGGGAATTTTAGTCTGAAAACAGCTGGAGACCCAAGTTTGGGAAACGCTGGACTAGATGATCACCAGGATCCCTTCCAACTCTACCGTTCTATGATTCTATGGCACACCATAAAATCAGAACTGCCTCTCCTCATATAAATCCTGCTGCCCACTTGAATCAGCCTTTGCACATCCCAATACCTTCTGAAGTAGAGTTGGGGTGAGACACTAGAGGGCCATTTCTGTTGTGATGCTCAGAAGGTCCATTTGGCCACTTCCTTACCAGTGCTCTGCAGTAAAAAAGAAAGAAAGAAAAGGACCCTACTTTTTCAAAAGGCGCTTGGCTCGCATCCTGTCTTAAAATACTTTTGGCTGTACTAGCTCTTTTTATTTCCTGTTTTGTCTGTTGCCTTTATTCTTATTATTTGTTCACACGGTTGTTACTGTTTCAATTATTTTAAAGATGTCGGTTGCCTGGAGCACTTTGATCTGGAAGCAGAAAGATGGGATCAAAGTTCTCAGGTTAATGCATAAACAATCTTAAAGGCCCATAGGTGCCCATGGGCATAATTTCTAGTCTTCCAATTGTCTAGGGAACCTATGCTCATTCAGTTTATATGTGTACCTGAGTCTCTGCGTGCAGGTTCTGATGGGGAAAGAGCCAGCAGGTGCATCTTTCGTCCTGCTCCTACTGCCAAACATTCATAAGAACGTAAGAAGAAACATGTAGAAGATCAGACCAAAAGCCTATCTAGTCCAACATCCTGTTCCCATCAGTGGTCAACAAGATTCCTCCAGGAAGCCCAGAAGGAGGACATGGGGGCAATACCCCCTTCCTACTGCTATTCCCCAGAATTGAGATTCAAGTGAATGCACCATTTAGAGAAAACCAATGTGGTGTAGTGGTTAGAGGGGCTATAGAGTGGTTAAATATAGTAAGGTTGTTCACAGGTCCGAATGCAGTGGTTTTTTGTAGAATTTCAATCTGTTTTTGAGTTGTTCTTGCACTCTCCACTTCAGTCTAAAATTTGGTTCTGTTCAGGGAAGTTTTTAATGTTTGGTGTTTTATCGTGTTTTTAATATTCTGTGGGGAGCCACCCAGAGTGGCAGGGGGAACCCAGTCAGATGGGCGGGGTATAAATATGTTGTTGTTGTTGTTGTGCTCTGAACCCCTCTCTACAAAGCAATGTTTTGTGTTTCCCCATTCAGTACAATGGGGATTCTAAACAGAGCTGTAACTTTCCCCCCTCTTGGCCAAAATGGATGAAATTTACAGGCAGAGGAGCCCACCAGAGGGAACTAAGCCTTTTTATCTGAAACCCACCTAGAGACTTGATGTTGGGCTAACAATTTTAGATTTGGCTTATCAAGAGGCTTCCTTTAAGAGCCTAAATACAATAGTCCTTAGCTGTTGCCAAGGCTGGAGGAAATGCCAATGGGCAGAGTAAGGACTAGTGTCTTATGGCGTCTGGGAAATCTCCTTTCCTTCATGGGAAGTCTCCTTTGTTAGATGGGAGTGAGTGTATGTGGTGTCGACATCCTGTTCTCAGGCTCCTGGTCACAGCAATGGAACAATGTGGAAGAAGAGGCCTTTGCATGAACTTTCTCTTTTGGGTCATATCCACAGACTGAAAGAGAGCTGGCACATCTTTTATGAACCATGCAACCATGTCCTCTCCTACATGGTTTGCCATAAAAGAAGAAGAAGAAGAAGAAGAAGAAGAAGAAGAAGAAGAAGAAGAAGAAGAAGAAGAAGAATAGTAGTAGTAGTAGTAGTAGTAGTAGTAGTTTGGATTTGATATCCCGCTTTATCACTTCCCTTCAGGAGTCTCAAAGCAGCTAACATTCTCCTTTCCCTTCATCCCCCACAATAAACACTCTGTGAGGTGAGTGAGGCTGAGAGACTTCAGAGAAGTGTGACTGGCCCAAGGTCACCCAGCAGCTGCATGTAGAGGAGCGGGGAAGCAAACCAGGGTCACCAGATTACGAGTCTATCACTCTTAACCACTACACCACACTGGCTCTCTTGAGAGTCTTGAGAAAGGAGTGGAGTTGTACCAAGCAACCACCCAAAAGCCAGGTGGGTGTCCATTTTTGAGTCCTATTTCTGGGGTGCTCAATTCCCAGTGTTTGGGACAGTCAATGGCCTGTTGAGGGTTATGGAGATGAGGAGTAACTTGGGGAGAGATCAGGTGTTAGTCTTTTTATCCACCTCTACCCAAGAAAAGGGACGTGGGTGGTGCTGTGGTCTAAACCACAGAGCCTAGGGCTTGCCGATCAGAAGGTCAGCGGTTTGAATCCCCGTGACAGGGTGACACCGGCTCCCTCGGCCTATAGAGCGAGATGAGCACCGCAACCCCAGAGTCATCCACGACTTGACCTAACAGTTAGGGGTACCTTTACCTTTACCCAAGAAAAACCCAAAATGCATTTTATAAAAGAACACCAAGTGCCTGTTTCTTTCTGGGCTCAACTCTTAATGATTGGTTTTGGCTTATAATGCTCTAAAGCTCACGGGACCAGAAAATCTGCCTGCTCTCAGGTGAACTTCAGTTGTTAAGACCATCTAAAAGGGGCCTCTTTGGGTTGCCCTTAAATTCAGTTGGGAGATGGATAGCTACCATCTTCCCAGACGTATTTTCCAACATTCTTCTCCGTTAACTTTTAGAGGCCAAGTGAAAACTATTTTGTGCACTCAAGTGTTTAATAGTAATTGATTTACCCTGCCGTTTTATGGTATTTTTCATCTGCTCTGCTCTATTCTGAAATGTTAGCAGCAGCAGAGGAGGGGGCAGAGTGGCAACGATGCTTTCCTGGCGGTGGCAGAGCTACATTCACTGGGAGGGATAATATGAGTTGGCAGCAAAGTTGGAGGGGCTTCAGGTGAGCAGCAGAGCAGGTGTACCTGCATCTGCTGGATGCTGATGCCACCAACCCGAAGCTCTCCCAACTCCCCTTCCATTTCATCTCCTTCCTAGCAAATGAAAATGTCACCATTGTTCACTCCTGTGATTGTGTTTTATTGTTTTATTTCATATGATTTAAATAGAGTTTTGCAAGCCATTTGGGATAAAGAAAAAACTGTTCAGATGAATGAATGAATGAATGAATGAATGAATGTCATATTTTAGTTTAAAATCTATTATAAGTATAAGGCAAGGTGGTGGGTGGGAAAAGGGGGGGAATGTTTGGTTTGGTCTGTGAATTTTTTAAATATATTTTTGTATTTTTATTTCTTTTTTACTTTTCGTTTCTTCTTTTTTTGTATTTTTTTGGTTTTTGGAAAATAAATAAAAATATTATTTTTTTTAAGAATGAATGAATGAATGAAAACTTTTCACAGATGGAGGGGCCTGCTCTTAGGAGGATTTGCCAAGAGATGCGCCCCCCCCACCGCGATGGATTCAATTTCTACATATATTTCCAGTGTGGTGTAGAGGTTAGAGTGCCACACTAATAAAATAAAGTAAAGTAAAGCAAAAAGTAAAGGACCCTTGGACAGTTAAGTCCAGTCAAAGGCAACTATGGGGTTGCGGCACTCATCTCACTTTCAGACCAAGGGAGTTGGCGTTTGTCCACAGACAGCTTTCTGGGTCATGTGGCCAGCATAACTAAAACACTTCTGGTGCAATGGGACACCGTGACGGAAACAGAGCACACAGAAACACCGTTTACCTTCCCCCTGCAGCGCTACTGATTTATCTACTCGCACTGGTATGCTCTCAAACTTCTAGGTTGGAAGGAGCTGGGCCAGAGTAACGGGAGCTCACTCCATCACGGGGATTCGAACCACCAATCTTCTGATCAGCAAGTCCAAGAGGCTTAGTGCCACCCGCTCCCTTTAGTGTCACATTAGGACGTGGGAGACAAGGTTCCATGGGTGCCCTTGGGCCTCCTAGCATAGGGCTGCCATATGTGCAGAATTTCCCTGGACATAGTCAGGATTCTTCCATTGGAAGCAGCGCCCAGGCTGAAATGTCTGGGAATGTCAACAACTTTGGGCAAAACTAAAAAAAAAAACTCAACGACATCTGTGTCCGGATTCTCAATTTTTGAAATATGGCAACCCTATCCCAGCATAACCTACCTAACATGGTAGTTTGTGAGGATTGAATGATGAGGGGGAGCACCATGGACATCACTTTGAGCTCCTTGGAGAGATATATGCAATGCGATGCAATACGTTATGAAAACTCAGATTCTCCAATCATCAAATGACAATTTGCAAATATTCAAAATCCAGCAATATTTCCAATTTTGCCATTCCAGTTATGTTTCAAGTGGGACACACAATCTACTGGTATTCAGTCTATTATCTTATCTTGATTGTTTTGACTTTGGCAGGAATCATGTATGAAATTCCATGAGGAGTCCATGATCGAATAGTAGGAACCGTTGCATGTCACACCTCTTGAACAGTGTCACATATCAAGTGTCAAGCATCAAATACAGATATCTCATATAACATTTGCAGAGCAGAGATGTTTTGGAAAGCAAATTTGTCTCTGCTCTAAATTGCCCTTTGGCCATTCTAATGGTGCCCTTGATTAGCCAGTAGGTGTCTCTGTTGAGCAATGTTTTACAAAATGGTTCTTCCTACTCATGGGGTGATGGGCACTCTGTGATGAAAGGGAGTGTGCTCACTTGTCAAAACATCAGAAACTGTCAAGTACATCCTGGCCTCCCACCTGGTGGACCAGAGCGTGTAGCCCACCAGGCTGGGCTTTACTCCATTTCAAACCTAGATTGATACAGGGCAAATGGAGCATACTTGTCAAAAGGTAACATGTGTGCACAAAATTGAAGCCATAAGCAGACCATCTGTTAATAAATCAAGATCTAATATGAGTGTATACAGATTGCTGAGTGTTCCAGGTCTTTTAGCACATTTTTATTCACCAGCTACAGGGTGG